AAAAGCTATGAACCAATTGTAACACTTCTACACAATTCTAGAACAACTTCTGTTAACCCTCTAGCAACCCTCTACGTCTGTAAATCCTGTATACAATTGCGCAAACTTTGAGAACCCTTTAGAGGACCCTTAGAAACCTCTTGAAGCCTGTACCAGCCTGCTAAATTCCGACGAACCTATGTAAGCCTTCAAAAGCATTGTATAAACCCCTCTAAAACCTTGCCCTAAACTACAGTCCGCCTCCTTTCTGGGCTTCATACAATAATTCTGCCCTAAATATTCAATCTATCCGTTTGGTACCTCTTTAAGACCCCCATGAAACGCTATACAACCTCCAAGTATTCTATCTATCCGTCTGGTACCTCTCTAGTCCCCCAATGTGACTTTAGAAACCCTCTCTGAACCCTCTACAGACCCTCCAGAAAACCTTTTAAACTCCAATATACCTTCTAAAAAAAAGCTATGAACCAATTGTAACACTTCTACACAATTCTAGAACAACTTCTGTTAACCCTCTAGCAACCCTCTACGTCTGTAAATCCTGTATAAAATTGCGCAAACTTTGAGAACCCTTTAGGGGACCCGTAGAAATCTTTTGAAGCCTGTACCAGCCTGCTAAATTCCGACGAACCTATGTAAGCCTTCAAAACCACTGTATAAACCCCTCTGAAACCCTGCCCTAAACTACAGTCCGCCTCCTTTCCGGGCTCCATACAATAATTCTGCCCTAAATATTCTATCTATCCGTTTAATACCTCTATAAGACCCACATGAAACGCTATACAACCTCCAAACATTCTATCTATCCGTTCGGTACCTCTCTAGTCCCCCAATATGACTTTAGAAACCCTCTCTGAACCCTTGACAGACCCTCCAGAAAACCCTGTAACCCTGTATATAACTTCTATACGAGCTATACAAACCCCCTTAAACAGCACAAAAGCCTTACAGAAACCCTCTCATAACCCTTTTATAAACCCTCAATACACCTGCCCCCAAATGCAAACAGCCAAGAAGAGGTCTGAGGGCTCCATTTTCGGGTCAATAAGTCAATAAAATTCCACCCAAATATTCTATCTATCCGTTTGTGAAAACACCTTTTTCATTTTTGAAAAACGGCAGATTCTATCTACTTTAGGATGACTATATATATATATATACATATAGAAATAAATGAATATGATTTCCCCAAAACAGTAGCTTAAATTGAATGCCTTAACAGCAGCCCAGTCTCTTTGGATGGGAGTTTGGCACTTCTTTCATCAGGAAAGTGGTCGAAGAGATCGTCAGCAGCAAGTAGCCTGAAGCAAGCCGCGGTATATGCTGCTTGGGGTATTTGACGGCATGTGCCAGCGTTAGCGTCCCTCTGTGCGACTCTATGCCCAAAAATACCTACATGGGAACCCGCCTAAAAAGGGACAGTAGGTTAAACAATCCCTATAACCCACATAGTAGCCCAATTTTTCCGAATTCATACCCTACTTGCTAGTAAGTCCCATCCAAATTTTGGCACACCACCCTTCGAGTACCCTGATCGCCGCTGACTGCATCTGAAGTGCATAGAACAGCCACAGCGATAAGCCAGAAGCCCAAGCCAGCCAGAAACGTCTCAGAAGGCCTGTATCAGGGGCAGGGCTTATATGAGCCGTGTATAGACTAAACTCCGAGTATCCCCCTTAAGCCCTAAAATACTCCCCTACATAATCTCCTATATAACCTCCTTTAAGGAGTTTAGACTATGGCCCATACAGGTTTAAGGTTGAGGAGGAGGCAGTCAAGATAAAAGCGCAGCTACAGGTGATACCAATGTCTGAAAACCTGGCGCATAATTGACTAATCTAGCATGCTGCAAATTATTGATGTCCTGTTTCCATGATTGCTCAAATCGATCTCCTCCCCCTATTATCATCAGAACCCCCCCCTCCCCACCCGCAATAGTATTCAATATTCACTGCAGCTTACATTCTGCCACAATGGGGAATATTTTCTTCTTATCAGGGGAAAGGACTACTAAGTTACTAAGCTGCCCGGCCGTCGTTGAGGGTGTTTGGGATCCGATGACACATTCATTGGGTACTGCCCCCACCCAGTAACAGTTGGATAAGAGTTACTACATGAACATATGTATATATAGAGCCCTTAATATGACCCATATTATGTGGGTTGTTCTCAAAATCATGGGCCCAGTCTGGTTATGGGTTATATTCCGGCACCTAACATTTGGGAGTACCAAAATAGGACCCTAAGTTTGGGAACTACGTCAACCCTAAACCCTAAATAGTAGCTTCCATTTTCTTTTCCATTATCCCTATATAACCCCTATATACCCCTATATATGACCCATATTATATACTTCTACTGGGTGGGGCCGGTACCCAACACCTTCATTCAGACTGGCCAGCCTCGGCGTGCGGTTTGGCCCGAAACATCTTCTCCCAAAGGGCTCATCTGTGGTGTGCCTCAACTTGAGGAACCTCAGTGGCGGAGTGGGTGAGGGACTATATAGGGTTTAGGGTTAAGGGTTTTTAGGCTTTAAACCCTACACCCTGAATCCCCAAACTTACTGGGGGTTAGCAGGGAATAAGGGCGCCTCATGGAAAGGGCCACTCTGTAGCCCTGATACTGACTCTAATGACCAATAGGGGATCAGGGCTTAAGGCTTAATGCTCCTACTGTGAGTTTGGGCCAGTATCTCTATCTGTCTGTATACCTCTACAAATAGCATTAGGAAGCTAGACAGCTTATGCTTGAGGGGAGGCAACGGAAACATCCCGTGCAACAAGCTCGTCACCCACGTCGGCCTTTGGGACGTCCTGGTTGTTGCGAGTCTGTTTGGAGCTCCCCCCCCTATACGCTGCCCTCCAGGTTCCACCGCAAACTAACCTTTCTTAGCCTATTACTAACAAAAAAGTGGGAACCTTAGTGCATAGGCAAACCCCTGAAGAACATGTTAAGGCAAGCTCTGGAATTTGGAGCACCTCCCTCTGCGAGAGGTCTGCCATGAAGGCCAACATCATACATGGGGCTTTCCAAAAAGTTAGGGGTGGTTTTCTGGGGTTCCCATATAGTCCCCCGTAAGTACATAGAATATTGGGTCTATGGGGATCTTATTCTATTCTACCCAAAGGCATATTCTATCTACCTAAGGGGGACTATAAGCAGGAACCGTTTCGTTGATTGCGCGTCTCATCCTTGGAAGTCCCTGAACCGATTAACCATGAACTCAAGACCCCTAAGCCCTGAAGCTTTTTTTTTACAACCGGACTGAGCATGTTGCCGGGCGATGCACTTGCACCATCAGAAGCTCAAAGGCATTCCAATGCTTTACTTCAGGGCTAAACCCTAAAACCAAAGCTTCAAACCTTAAACCCTAACGCCTGAACCTGGAACACAACCTGTCCTAACTTCTCAACTCTAATCCGGTTTAGGGTTTAGGATTTAGAGCTTTAGGGTTTAGGGTAGCTGCATGCTGGATAAGATGCTCCGCTTTGGTTTCTTTTGCAGATCTGAAAGCTTCAAAAAATAGGGGACCCCGTCTATGCCTCGAAGTACTGTAATCCTTACTTTACTACAAGGAGGCTCACAAAACAGACCACTTGTTGGTTGGGAAAACCCCATTTGCCGTCATTTAGGGCTTAGGGTTTAGGTATTTGCCCTAGGACCCTTCAGATCTGACGCGCGTCCTGTCCGGGGCGTCTTCGGTGAGGATGCGAGCGCTCCCAGTCTCCACTTGGAAGGAGTCCGACATCGCAGGTTCAATGGTGGCCACTGGTACAGCTTGCAGACTGTGACGCTGGCAAACCCTGAGCCCTGATGAGGGGCCCTTTTTTTTGCAGTCCTTGAAACATAGCTTGGGGGGATCGCATTTTGAGATAGGGGCAGTCCCTCTGCCAAAGCTGAACCAACAGCTTCGGGCTCTTCAAGGGTATAGCGCACCTGAGAATTCAGGTGTTTGTCCACATGTAACAATTTGTAAGAATACCCCGTGGTAACGGACCCGGCCAAATTTAGAGATACCTTGATGGGTGCTGCAAGCGTCACTCCCTTTCTGCAGGGGCTGTAGCCACGCGGCCAAGGGGACACGGCAGCAAAACTTCCACCCGCAACTCTTCACATGTGCAGGCGGACTCGTGAACAAAAAAGAACTCGTCCCACAGCTACTGCGACAAGCATGCTCACCATGTGGTATTTGTACCGTGTACATCTGTGCACGACCATGAGAATGAAGCACATTATATAACACTCAAAACAAGTGCACGCCGCAAATAACCAGGATGCAGCCCAAGGCCTCAATGTCACCATCAGTCAGCACCAACAACACAAAGTACCTGCCAGAGCATTTTGGCCCTGCCAGGCCGTCACGCAAGTCGGCACACATGCTGAAGTGAACTAGCTCTCATTAAGCGCCAGCGCGCCCTTCCCAAAGGCTGAGCAGCAGGGGGAAGGGGAGGAGGAGGCAGCAGAGCAGCAGCAGGAGCACCTGCTCCTACAGGTATTAATATTCGTTCAAAATCGGTGACTAGCTGCAGGCCTTAGTCCTGAGCAGATGTGCAGGGACTCACAACAAGCGCAGCAAGATCCTAGCGATTGTAAATGCCATAAAGGGCAGTGTCAACCCCTTCCAAGCAGAATTACATGATCCCGCTATGTGATCCCTACATAAACTCAACCCTCGATCCAGTTATGTAGCTACATAACCCCTGCAGTAGGCTTCTGAGATGTGGGCCTCATGTCAGGTGGCGTCTCTGTCATCTTCACAAACTTCGGCTGAATGTATGGCCTGGCCATATTGGCAGCCAGCTTGATGACGTCCTCAGCCGGGTAGCTTCTCGCCACGTCGGAATGAAGGCGTGCATAAAGTCTGAGTAAGGTTCTTGGGGAGCGTGTAAGGGACAAGCAGAGGGTCCACAGCCTCTATACACGAGATACATCACCCAAGTACATATTGTAGCATATTATAGCATATTACATTATATTATAGTATATTATAATACAGTATACTATGATATAATAAATACCATATTATAGCGGTCTGGTAGGCTTGGAAGTTGAAAGCCAGTGCCAGTCTGAAAGTGCAGCTGAGCTGCGGCTAGGTAGGATGGTCCATGCAAGTGGCAAATTCGCAAGGCGCGATGGTATGCTTTAAGCATACCTTCAACACCTCATAGCCACCGCATCAGAGCAGCAAAGGCAAGTGGCATGAACATCACCTACAAGGGAATAAGGGAATCTAACAACTATATAACATCTATCTACTATACTCCCATATTCCCTGCTAGCGACCAATACCTCTTCCTGCTGCTGAGGTGCCTTCAACTTCTGGCTGAAAAAAATCGCCGGTCAAAGCAAAACAGTTGGACACCACCTTGGCACACATAGTATAATATATTCCCGTACATTATAGAATAGTATATTATATTATAATATAGTATAGTAGAAGATACTATAATATAATGTACTATAATATCACATAGCCTTCTCAGGATCTGCCTCACTGGGCTGACTAAGCTGCGTACGGAATGTGATGGTGGTATCTTGGCCCCAAAGCCATAGATAGGATAACACTTGTCATTGTCGTAGACAGACATAACCTCGCCAAGTGATCTGATAGCCGTTGCATATGCTGTCTCCTCCTCCATGTGCACAACACTGTGCCTTGGCTCACAATTCAAGGTGTGCGCTGCGGCACATGACCACATTGGATAAAAGGCAGTCATATTATGGTCCTCCAGGATTTTGTCTGTCAACCGTAGCGCAGCTGCGCCTTACAGCATGCTACGCCATGCTCAGCTTAACTGCTGTCACCAGCACAACTATTGGGGAGCTTGCCAAAAACACGAAGCCCTCTTCTAGACTCCCACATACTATAACCCTTGTCATGAGGACCACTTAAGAGGAGACTCCCTAACCTTTGCAAGCCCCACTTTCAATCAGGAGGCATGGACTTGGGATTTGTCTGACCAAGGTTAGACCGTGTGAAGTCTATGGCCACCATGAGCTGGAGCTCCAAACCACCACGAAGATAGTCCAAAAAGGTATAGTTCCTCTTGAAGCCTTAGCTGTCTAGGGTTTCAGGTTTAAGGCTTCTATTTTGTACCTAGGGCCTTCCCCAATTTTTGTCCAAAAAGGTACAACTCCTCTTCAAGCCTTAGCTGCTCAGTATCTAGGATGCGTCAAACTAATACTTCCTCTTGAAGCCTGAACTAGTGGTCCAGTTGTTGTTTGTATTGGGCTTTTTACTGCCCAATAGTCTAACTTATCTGGAACCCTGACCATAAACCCGGATAGGATACTTCCTCTTGAAGCCTTAGCTGTCGAGTATATGCTCTGTAGCTCAAGGTTAACCGGTTGGTTCAGATTGAGATTTTTACTACCCAAAAAACTGATTTGTTCTTAGTAGGGAATATGGGAATGAATTATGTAGGTGTTATATAAGGATTATATTCCCTTATTCTACCAAGAGGCCAGTAAGAAAAGGTTACAGGTTACCAACTGCAGAGATAGGGAGCGGTGCCCATCGAGGGTAACGGACCCGACGAGTGGGCCGAAAACGCCTTTGCCACCTCCTGGCATCCTAAACCTTAAGACCTTAAGCCCTAAAACCTAAACCCCAAACCCTAGACCTCAAACCCTAAACCCCAAATCCTAACACCCAAACCCCTTAACCCCAACATCCAAACCCCTAAACCCCAAACTGCGTGTCTGCACTCCCATCCCTGGGGCTTTGGGGGAGAGACAGAACATCCTCTAAGGATGCCATGGGGGCAGGCAACCAAGGTCCAACTGGTACATGGGTTGTTCTCAAATCCTTAAAGGGGGTTATATAGGGGATAAGATGAGGGACTACTATAGGGGTTACTAAAGAAGATGCTAGGAGTTTAAACTATAGCTCATTTGGGTTGTTCTAAAAATTATGGGCTCCTTGTGGTTCTTGATTATATTGCGGCACCTAGTATTTAGGGGTATTAAACGGGGGCCTTCATTTTGGGAACTACCCACATAGGGGTGTAACTACCATTTTGAATAATGAATACCCCTGAACGAGGGTGGGCTGGGAATTCAGGAGCAGCCAAGTCGATATGGAACTTCGTGCCGATACGGCAGTGCCTAACATAGTCCGTTGCATAGTCGATTCATAGCTGGACTTTGCTTGGCGACACCCAAAAAACTGAAGGTGCACCTGTCTACTACCAAACACGCTAAGGCAATGTATTTACGATGACTGTCTGAATATTGACTATTAAACAGAATACGGTTCCTGGTTGTCTTCGATTTAACAACATACTGTTGATGGACAGAAACCTGCATGAGCCTGAGTCCTGTCAACTGTACTGTGCCCTTCCCTCAACCGGGCGTAGTGAATTAGGACACTACAGGACTCACATGACGATGACATGACCCTGATTTTGTGGGTTTTTGTGGCCAAAGCCCTCTTATCACAACCCCAACGACCCTATCGCTACTTGGGTTGGTTCGATTTTGCTGGTTGGTGTTGCCAAAGTCCCCTTATCACAACCCCAATGACCCTAAACCCTAAACCCTATTGCTATTTGCCTTGGTTCCGGATCTCGGAGGATGTCATGGACAGCGTCTTGCTTCCCGCGGAGGAGTGGCTCATACGGGAATGCCCGGAAATCTGCGAGGAGGTCCTGACAATGTTTTATCGGTTTAGGGGTTTAGGGATATGGAGTTTGAGGTTCGAGACGGGTTCAGAGCTTAGTGTTAAGGAGTTTAGGTCTGAGGGTTCGAGGGGTTAGGGTGACGTTTGGGTCCAGGATTGAATTCATTCGGTCTTCTGGCAGATGGAGGCGTTTCGGGCATTGGATCTTCAAGCATCCTATGGCCTATAGAGTAAAAGGTTGAGGGCCTTTGGGGTAAGGGCCCGTAAGCAATCTAGTAATTGCTTCTACTTGCAAAAATCGAAACACTTAACCCACGTCATGCACTTGAGGATGAGCCGACGGCTTTGGGCTTAGGACTCCGGATCTAGGGTTGAGTGCAAACACAGGGGCCTGAACAACTTGAATGAGGCTTCCGAGTTAAAAGCAACTATGGCTGCAGGGGTTATAGGAGAGTAGAGTGCGCAATTAATTACTCAAAACAGGCTTCCACGTCACACAGTACACCTAATCCAAGTTCTCATGGACTTGTCCATGTTATCTTCATTTGACTCTCCATTACCGGGAACATTCACAGCCTGCAGACGCCATTTCCACAATTCGTTGTCGATGGGAAATGGAGGGGTAAGAAGGGATTTGTCGGGCCCGCTAACCCCTAAACCCAAATCCTAAACCCTATTGCTCCTAAGCCCTATAGTCCGCCTCAAGTAGATAGAATATGGGGTAAATCAGGATCTTATTACAACATACCCAAAGCTATATTCTATCTACTTAAGGGGACTTTAAACCTACGCCAGTTTAAGAATCGGTAGCTCACTGGTGGATCTTTCACGCCGTCCTTCCCAAGAGGCATCTCAACAGCGGAGGGGGTGTATAGGATCACATAAATGCAATATATAAGTGCATATCGAAGAAATATCATTCTTTCGCAAGGGAACCCGGTCTCGACAGATGCCCATCTAAGGAAGGAAGCCTCTACTACGGTGGAGGGTTTTTTTTTCAAAG